GTCTGTTTCTCCTATCAATAATAGTTTGTCTACATCCTGAAAACGGAATGGATAAGGAATATCTTTTTAATTGCATGTGTGTGGGGAGTGTAGGCCCATATAATCACAGGAAGGAACAAGATGACATCGGGGGCCCGCTCTGTCACTCTCTACCTTATGTCCTTGAGGCAAGATCTCCCACTAACCCTGCAACTAGGCTGGTGGCCAGTAAGCCCCAGCGATCCTCCTGTCTCCACCTGCTCCACGGCTGGGGTTACACACATGGGGGACCACACCAGCTTTTTACACGGGCCCTGGGGATCTGAACTCAGGTCCTCGTGCTTGTAAAACAAAGCTTTTACCCGCTGAGCCATCTCCCCAGTCTAGGAAATCTACAGTTTAAGACAGCTGTATATGAATGCTCTGGAAATGCAGGGACTCACAGCCTTTTCCGCAGTTTAAACTCCACTAGGGTGAGGTGAGAGTGAGTAGTTAAGGGACAGAGAAATTCTGGAAAATAGTGAATCATGCAACGTTTAGCATTTTTCCCCCACAAGTGTCCTTCAGATACAAACAAACATACCATCTCTGTCCAAGTGCATCTAGAACAATCCTTAATGTTTGATTGTTTACATCTATTTCTGTGTCTCTAGCGATGTTCCTCATTCAGAGATCATGAGGAACGCTAAGATTTTTGACTTCCTACAGTTTCCATTAATGCCAACACGGAAGTAAATTCTCCTCAGCATCATTCATCTATATCCTCATTACACACAATTTGTAAATCTGAAAAATGTTTTTCTGGGATTCATTTAATTCATTTACATTTTAATATGCAATTTACTTGTTTTCCATGTAGGTTTGCAAAGCACAAGGAAATGTAACTAGCTTTCTGGTCTGTCTAATTGAGGATTTGTCCTCAATTTCAAATTGGGAAATGAACATTGGGGTTTAAATATTAGATTCTCCTTGTACAAATACCTGTGAGTTGGTTCCTCAGAGTGGTTAGTGGGTCCCACTGACCTGATCCAGCCTCTCAGTCTGTACTGGAACTAAACTGGATTTGGAATGTCACCCTGTGGGACAGTGCCTGGTGGCAGACACTTAACTTTTGTTCATGATCTATGTTTCTCATTTAGCACAACATTAGCACAACCCTGTTCTAAACCCCTGTTTCTCGGGACATTTCTGCCTGATGGGCACCATTGTTTGTGAGTCTCAGAGATACCTGAATCTCTACATTCCTCCTTTTTATTTTGCTAGAAATACACCATGGAAATTAAATGGAAGAAGAATAAATTTATTTATTTTTAGAATTTATCTGCTTTTATTTTATGTGTATGAGTGTTTTACCTGCATGTATGTATGTGCACCATCTGTGTGTCTGGAGCCCATGGAGGCCGGAAGAGGGCATCAGATCCCCTGGTAATGGGGTCACACATGGTTGTGAGCTTTCCTGTGGGTGCTGGGAATCAAACATAGGTCCTCCGGAAGAGCAGCATATGCTGCTAACCACTTTACCATCTCTCCAGGCTACAGAAGGATGATTTCAGACTGAAATAGCCTCCAAAGCCAGTGAGCTCAGAGTGGGTTTTTTTTTCTTTTAAATACATTGTTTTCCTCCCTATGCTTCACTGTTGAAAGCTTCTCCTGAGCCCATGACTTAAAGAAGTCTGGGAAGCTGGGGAAGATTTTCAAGCAAATAATCACATTCTTATCTAGTTAGCTACATCACTATCCTGGAAGCTTCTAAACCATCTCCATGGCTTTTCTTTTTGCAGCCTTTTCTCAATGTGTTACTGGTAATAACTAAATATTTTATATAAGCAATATCTTCCCTGAAATAGAGTCCAGAGTTAAATGAGCAGAAATAGCTACTAGAATAGAGAGAAGATGCTTTTTATTAATTTTGAAATAATTGCCTATACTTACAATTAGAGAGAGTGTGTTAGGCTTTTTAATCAATAGTAATATAATTAGGAACACACCATTTGTTAATTAGGTCTAATTTCACATTTGGAGGAAAAAGACATTTGTCTCAGTTGGAGGGTTCTAGCTTGCCCTCCTCTGGAGCAGCACCATGTTCTTTAGGTCCAGTGAGGACTCTCTCCCCAGCCTCCTCCTGACCCCCCTCAGTGTCATGTCAGCTCCTCAGGGGAAGAGAGTGTGCTTTGGGCATCTTTGGATTTCCCACAAAAACTAAGCATCAGGTGTGCGTGTGTGTGTGTGTGTGTGTGTGTGTGTGTGTGTGTGTGTTGTGTGTGTGTGTGTGTATATACATATGTATACATAAAGTCCTAAAATCCATGTGCTTATCATATTTGTAGATGACCAGGAGGAGCAGCCAATCTGTTGGATATCAGAATCATAATTTTGGCAGTTCTCCCAAAGACTGAAAACCTTACAGACATAAATATCAACTATTCAGACCTAATTTTGAAATCCAAAATGAAATAGGTTTGTTTAATAGCATATCATGCTCTGCTAAAGAGAGAATTAGTGAACTGGAAGAAAACTGGAGAGAAGCCATCCAAAACAAATCAGAAAGTAGAAGTAAAGGAATGTGGTCAAGAGGCTAAGAGAGAGCATATCAGTTAGCCCTGCCTCTCTGTGACAAAAGAGCTAGGATAAATACCTTAAATGGAGAAAGGCTTACCTTTGCCCTGTGGTTTCAGAGATTCGGGCCATGACCACTTGGACCTTTGTCCCTGTGACTGAGAGCACATGGTAAAACAAACCAGCTCCGAGTATCCTCTTCAAAGCATGCCCTAGTGAGTGACCTCACTTTCCCTAACTAGGCCCCACCTCCTAAGTTTCCACTGCTTCCTAATAGAACCACCAACGGGGTGTCAAGTGTTCAACACAGGAGCCTTCAGGGGACATTCCAGGACAAACTATAATAGAGAGGTAATATTAGGAAGTTCTGAAATGTTAGGGATAAAGAACTAGGTGAAATATTTAAATAGACAATGATTGATAATTGCCCCAAAATAAAAATATCAAACAAAAGACTCTAGAAAGAGTTTAAATTCCAAACAGAATGCACTATAGACTTTCAAAGACAAGGGCAGAGTCTAAAAGTAGAAAGTAGATTACCATCAAAGAAGTAGAAATCATATTTTAATTATTATTTACAGCATGAGTCTTTTTTTTTATAATTGACATCTTAACCTAACTTTGATATTTGAGGTTTCCCTCTAAATCTGGGGCGCAGGACTTGAAGGACTGTTAGGTACAAGGGGTGTGTGAATTTACTCTGCATAACTCCAAAAACAATGTGTAATGGGTCAAATGAATCATATCTCTATGTAATATAAGGAAGAAATGTCTAATAATTTGATTTCTTATAACATGAAGTGTGGTGATATTGTGTTCCCCAAAATATTGTGCACCCCAATAAACTTATCTGGGGTCAGAGAACAGAACAGCCAGTAGATATAGAGGACAGCAAATGGTGACACACACACTCTTAGTCCCGATCAAGGCATTTGCCTCTGTGTCTCTTTCTTTCTTTCTTTCTTTCTTTCTTTCTTTCTTTCTTTCTTTCTTTCTTTCTTTCTTTCTTTCTTTCTTTCTTTCTTTCTTTCTTTCTTTTTTT